GTCTCATGTCATTGACCAAAATTTACAATGCAGCAGCTCCCCTCCCACTTCCTCCCCATAGTTACCTCCTCCCAGTGTCCATCCCTTCATACTCTCGATGAAGTGTTCTGGAATTCCTAGTCTTTGCATTGTTTTCCATAATTTGTCAGCTTTCATCTAAGATCCAAATGACATCAGCAGTTATATCCCCCATTCCACATCCTCTTTTGAATCCGACTTGAATTTCTGGCAGTTCTCTATGTACTGCTGCAACCGTTTTTGACTCATTTTTCGCAAAATTTTACTTGCATTTGATATTAACGATATTGTTAGATAATTTCCACATTCTGTTTGGTCGTCTTTCTTTGGAAAGGGCACAAACACGGATCTCATCCAGTCAGTTGGCCAGGTACCTGTCTTCCAAATTTCTGGGCATAAATAAGAAAAGCCTTCCAGTGTTGCATCCATTTGTTGAAACATCTCAGTGGGTATTCTTTCAATTTTTGGAGCCTCATTTTTGGCCAGTACCTTCAGACTTCTTCCTTCAGAACCATCTGTTCTTGATCATATGCTACCTCCCGAATTGGCTGAACATAACCAATTCTTTTTGGTACAGTGACTCTCTGGATTCCTTTCATCTTCTTTTGATGCTTCCTGTGTAGTTCAGTATTTTGCTTATAGAATCCTTCAATATTGCAACTTGAGGTAGGTTATACATGATGTAAAAAATTCAAACAAAATGCATGTATCATGTAAATGTTAGTTCATCCCTGTACCCCTGCACCTTGAATAGAACCTGGCATGTATAACTAAATGAACTCAAATACTGGCAAATGAACTTAAAGATTTTTAAAAGGCATTATTGAGATAGAATCCACTTCCATACAGTTCACCCACTCAATTCAATGGCTGGTCAGTCATGTATTCACAGAGTTGTGTAACCATCACCACAGTTAATTCTAGAGCATTTTCATGTTCTGAGATTTTCACCCCAAAGGGTAACCCCATACTCACTTGGCAGTCCCTCACCATTCCCCTTTTCCCCCAGACCTTGGTAATCACTGATCTACTTTCTGTGTCTGGGGGTTTACCTATTGTAAACTTTTCATACAGATCCAATGATACTATACATAATCTTCAGAAAATCATATTTGCAGATGTGGGGAGGAACGGTACAGTGGCACCAATGTCCTCTCCCACCCCCTCTTCCCCAGATCCCCCAGAGAAACAGGAATCTCTCCAGTGGTTATCCTCCCTTCACCTGCCTCATGTTGAGTGTGAGCACACACTCATGAAGCCATTTTGGATAACAGATGTTTCAATTGTCCATTCCAATTCTCTGTCAAGCCATTACTATTAGGGTGGGATGCAACAATGGTATGTCCATTTAATATGATGTTTCTTTGCCCATTGCTGTCCTTGGTTTGAGGAAATATAACTTGGTGGCCCAAATTGGTACAGTATCTTTTGTTCCAATCCTTTAATGGTGTTTTTGGCATTTGTATCTGTCATGGGATATGAAAAGCCTAGTCCAGAGTAAGCATCTATTCCTCTGAGGACCCATTTGTAAGCCACCTGGAGCCACTGGCACCACTCATCCTATATAATCGACTTGCCAGCTATGTGCATGGCCTTCTACCTGGAGAATCTGCTCCATACCCATGTGTAACCTCTGTCTTTCTTACTGACAGACAGAGTAGTCTTTACTGACACTTTACGCCTCAGAGGGTGCAAGAGGGATGTGTCTAGATTCAGTCCATCTCTGACTGCTACAGCACCCCCATGTCCACTCATTTCATAGGCCCAATCGGCCACTTTGAGGGAGTATACCAATATGTCCACTTGCTGATTCCAATTGCCTTTATCCAGGAAGGGGATTGTGTTAGACTGGGTTCTCTAGAGAAACAAAACACAGCAGAGCTTATATATATATAAAGAGAGAGAAAAATTTATCTTAGGAAAATAGCTCACAAATGTATAGAAGCTGGCAAGTCCAAAGTCCCTGGATCAAATGTCAACCTGGTGGCTTTTCCTGGCTCCCGCAACCGCAGGGGCCGAGAAGCTCAAGGCTGGCGGGCAGTACACCAGCTATTGACGAATCCAAGATCTCAAGGCCGAATGGTGGACTGCTCACTCAAGGACAGTTATAGGCAG